ACCCACCTAGAATAGAGTTAGAGGTGATCTAACAAAGCCAGCATTAGTTCGAGTTCTGATCCTTTGTCTCACGATGTCATAGGTTGAACAAGGGCATGGAATGAGCCACCCTTCAAGTTCAACCGCTTACTCGTCTAGGCAAACCGACTGATAAAATAGATGTACATTCATCTATAGCGTGGCTAGCAAGATGTATCGAGGCTTACGACAGTTGTATACTTGGCCCGGAATCAAGAAAGACGTCGCAGATTTTGTTGCGCGATGCCTGACGTGTCAGCAAGTGAAGGCTGAACGACAAATGCCTGGAGAAAAGTTGCAGCCATTAGAGATTCCGGAGTGGAAGTGGGACTCTATAGCAATGGATTTCGTGGTTGGACTACCAATAACTCCGACAAAGAAGAATGCAATTTGGGTGGTTGTAGACCGATTAACTAAATCGGCACATTTCATACCGATCCGACAAGAGTACACAGTTGAGAGATTGGTACAGATCTATGTGGATGAGATCGTCCGATTACACGCAGTGCCAAGTGAGATTATCTCTGACAGAGATCCTCGCTTTACCTCAAGACTGTGGAATGCGATACAGGATGCATTGGGAACGAAGCTGAAGATGAGCACGACATATCACCCACAGACAGATGGACAGTCGGAACGGACTATCCAAACGCTGGAGGATATGTTGAGAGCGTGTATATTGGATTGGGGAATTCCGTGGGATCGACACCTGATGTTGTGCGAATTTGCGTACAACAACAGTTTCCATGCTAGTATCGGTATGCCACCTTACGAGGCGCTGTATGGGCGGCCTTGTAAGACACCTCTTTGTTGGGCAGAAATCGGAGAACGAAGAAATTTTGGGCCTGAAATTGTGGAGGAAACGACTGAGGTTATCAGAAATATCAAGGTTAACCTGAAGGTCGCGCAAGAACGAACCGCTGTATGAGATTCAAGTCATGACTCATGTCCATGTGACAATCTCATGCGGGTCATCCAGTAACTCGTTCCAAACGAGAACCCATGATTGTGATTCGCATCTAATGCATATGATCAAAATCATCCATCACACATCATGCTAGTCTTAATTCATCATTGTTCCCACAATGATAACTGACCAGGGAATTTAGAATCATCTGCAATGATTCAAGGATATTTACCGTAATATAACAAACATGCTAATCATATAACGGGAAAAGTAATGCATTCATAAATCAATGAATCAATACATAGTCGAAATGTCATATCACGGATCATCCTAGAGCATCACAACCAACACTAGCGTCATGACTTGAATCTCATATGACGGTTCCATGATTGGATCCTAAGACCTGAGATATCTACGGAATCCAACATGAGGAATTGTGTACTTTGATTACGTCAAACGTCCTGCGTAACAGGAGGACTATAAAGGTGTGTATCAGGTACGAAACGAATCATGTGTTGGATTGTAGATAGTCAAGACGGGATTTGTACCTCTCGTAAAAGAGAGAGATATCGTTGGGCCCCTCGTGTGAGCGAGACTGTAGAAATGTGTGGCCGCACTATAGACGAACATCGTCTATTTCAGACAGTCGAACTCAGTGAACGAGAAAGCAGTCCATGCCTTATGTTCGACATATGATATCGCGATACAAAAGGATCATCAACTGGAATCATCACTGGCGTTCGTAAGATCACGAACAAACTCTATTCGAGATATGAATCCTTTGCGCAAAGAAGAAAGCGTTCTTCAGTCCTAGCAGACAAGTTCCAACCGTTGGAATCCTTTCCGCCGTGTGGATACGTGTAGAGGACAAGGTATTCTTCCAGTCTATAGTGATCAGACGCGTTCTTCGAATGATACAGGCCCCGGATCGATTGAGGTAAGCGTTCTAACGTTTCTACAAGATCATGCATGATAGGTTCTAGGGTTTCATTAAAATTTTTGTTTTACATCCGCTGCGCAAACCCTAGAATCGATATCTTAGGAATTAGATTCGCTCATGAGATCCCAGGAAACCCAACACCCGTCGGATCAATACGTGAAGCTCGGACTTGTCTTGGTCCGGCGGACCAAGAGTTGTCCTGAAGACCGGACGAGTCAGTCGGACTATGCGTGCTGGTTCGGACCTGTCTGGTCCGGCGGACCAGGATCTTGGTCCACCGGATCGGGACTGTCAGCAAGTGTATCGGCTGTGTGCTTGGTCCGGCTGACCAATAGTTGGTCAGCTCCAGATCAAGAGCCCTAGCCTCTGTCCGGCCGATCATTCCGCTGGCCCGCGGGACCAGACTGTCGGCAAGTGTATCGGCTGTGTACTTGGTCCGGCTGACCAATAGTTGGTCAGCTCCAGACTAAGACACTGAAAAAGTCCAAAGTGTATTTTTCTTTGACTTTTCTTGGTGGGAAGCAATTGGGGAACGCAATAATTCACTCTTTCACTCATTCTCAGACCTGGAAAAGGGAGAGAGAGAGAGAAAAACACAGCCCTCGGATCCCTCTCATTCAGATGCGTTTGATTCATCCCTGTACCCCTTACCTAGAAGCTCATCAGGAGCCACTCCTTACCCGTGCCTCTGGCACCGGCAATCACTCCCCCTACTACGGTATCCTGGGTGTCACAGTCACCCATTCTAAGACTACTCCAAAGTGAACACGCTTAACTTTAGAGTTCTCTCGAGATGGTCAACCGAAAAGGTAGATAAATCTTGTTCCTATGAGTAACTCAATTAATTCCTTTAAGTTATCTCTGACTGTGTAGTTACATACCTACACAGCCCTCGGATTTCTCTCATTCCCTTGCGTTCGATTCATCCTTGTACCCCCTACCCAGAAGGTCGTTAGGAACAACTCCTTATCCGTGCATCTCGCACCGGCGCCCAGACTGTCACACTGACTGGTTATACTGCTGCGGTTGTGGGTCCGAGTGGTAGCGTTTTCAGAATGTTGGGTAGCGATTGTGGGGGTTAGTATTGAATGGTTGGTAAGTGGTTGTTGATAGCGATTGCAGTTGGTTGTGATTAGAGGTGAATGGTTGTAAAAAGGTTGATGTTTGCGTTTTGATGTAAATTACAAAAAAAGACATGATTTTAAGATAATTTTTTAAATTAATTGTAATTAATTTTTATATTATTATTTGATAAAAAATTATTTGTATATAATGTTTTATATTTAATTCTATCAATTTAATTTATATTTACTTAAAAATAATAATTTTATTATAAAATATTTAAAATAACTATTGATAAATCTAAAATTATATAATTATGTGATACTGTTATTTTTTTTAAACTCAAATCATAATATCAAAAATTAAACTTAAGTTATGATACTAATCAAAATCATCAAGAGATTATTGTACCTATAAACATAAATGATGTGTGAATTATATGAATATAAGTGGAAAAAGTATAATAAACCTTAATCTATAATCAACGACATTTATAGTGAAACCAAAATCAAGCCTGCACTTGGAAGAACCTTGAAAAAAAAATCGAATTATACAAACATTTGTGGTGCTCACGAAGGAGAAGACCTCAGATAGGACTTATTCTCTAATATCTGTTCAATTGTTTGTTGAATTAACAAGAGATTTGACTGAAAATCAGAAAATGCAACTGAGTCCATTGAAGTTATGAAGGGATTTTTAAAACTTCAAGTGCATTTTCTTCCCATTCTCTGTTCTGGTTACTTGAAAGGTATGAAAATTAAACAACGGAAGGATCTCCGCAATATTTTATAGATCTATCTTGTTCAAAATCCAGATTTTTCTTATCTTTACATGAAGATACAGATCGTCGATCGATACAATGTAATCATCAAAAGAAACCGTAAACAACATCCAAAGAAGCAACAAGTTGACGTTAGTGTCAGAACACCGTGAATTTGAATAAATTTTAGGTAAAAACTCCTATTCACAAAGACTATAACAAGTCCAAACAAGAGAAAAAATCCATAACCAAAAAGTGGAAATTTCGGTTGTTTTTCACAAAATAAAACAAATGGACGAAGAACATCTAAAGGAGCTACGAGAAGACATGTGCGGATGAGGGAAATGAAGAAGAAAACGATCGAGAAACAGAGAAGCGAAAGAGAGGACCTCATCATTATATCCGAGAGAAAATTTGATTTTGAGTTCCCTATTCCAATCTGCGATTATTTCCAAATTCTAGGTTTGGTTCAAGTATCGACGAATAAATAAATCGAGTCATACAAGAGAAAAAAAAAAGCAAAATCTAGAAAGTATGACATCAGATGATACAACCACTGTGAGATCAGACGATATTAATTTTAGGGCGCGCGAGAAATCGAAAATAGAGAGGAAAGAAATTACGAACGAATGAACTTCCGAATTAATTTTAGGGTTTTACAATTTTAAGGAGGTATTTTTGTTTTTCTATATAAACGCTAGGAACCGCAACCGTAACGCAACTTATCACTTGCGTTTTGAGTTTGCGTTTAGGTACGGTTTAACGAGTTGTTTTCTCAATCGCCACCACCCGTCAGAAATTGTAACCTCTCCGTTTGTGGTGGCAGCGGTGCAACCAATCACGTCCTTAATTGTCGGGGACCTTCAACACCAATGTAATCCGGCAAGGGTCTCAAATCAGTCCATAGATCAAACCAGAAGCTAGCATTTGTCCCATTTCAGACCCTACGACTTGATGAATCTACTAACCTCACCTTTTAAGTGTACAAGTTTCCTCAAGTTCTGGGTCAAACCAATAATTTTTACAAAATCGAAATCAAAATAATGTGATATCCAAAACGTCCAGCTAATTATTACTCGTCGTGCGCGCACAAGAAAATGTGGACAAATAAAAACAATTATTTATCCTGATTATTGTTTACAATATGCGATTTTATTTACCTGACACAAAAGAATCCGAAATTTAATTGGTGGATTTGTTTTAAGTCTTTCAACTTGTTAATGATTTTAATGTCTTAAATAAAAAGATTATAATCAATTCATGAAATTTGAGGGTGCCTTCTAGTTATTGTACCTCTTTTATTCAATTTCGAATAAAATCAAGAACAAGTCATTGAATCATGTGCATGACAACTAGGAAGTACAAGAACGAACAAACTCGATAAAAAGTGTACAACAAGATGGTATGAGGCTTGATGAACCATATTACATTGTTGCTTCAATATGTCACACTGAAGCTTAGATAAGAAAAAATCGATTAAAGGTTCCGAATCCGATCCGGATTAAGAGCATTGTACGATACCGGCGGAGAAGGTAAACCATTGGATCGATCTTGATCGGGTTTTGGACCGTAGGGATTCTTTCCACAAGGGATCCAAAAGAACGATTTAGGGTTTGGACAAGGCTGTTTTCTCATGAAGAACTTTGAACACTCAGTGGCCGATCGTTGATTCGGAAGGCCTAAAATACAGTTCATTCGAACATCCAGAACCTTCTTCTTTATCAGTTCCCGACATTTCGGACCCACATGCGTGAAGTAATTGTATGACAACGACAAGTTCTGGATCCTTGGAAGATTACATACGGTTTCGGGTATGGTTCCATAGAATGTGTTTCTTGCCAAGTTGAGTTGTTCCATCTTGTCCAAGCATCCAAAGGAATAAGGTATAGGACCGGTTAAGAGGTTAGACCCGACATCGAATACCGTTGCTAGGTTTAGCTTTCCGATTTCGTATGGTAAGCAACCGGTTAACCGGTTACTCAAGAAAAGAACTTCTTGCAAGTTCTTGATATTGCCTATGCTGCTTGGAATCGGACCTGAAAATCTGGCATATCACAAGAAAAACCACAGTAAACCAAAGATGCAGGATTCAATTCTCATCAATCGCATGTAATTTCTCGAGACGGAGATTCGGGTTTTGTTTAAATGAAAAACATTAAGAGCGTTGCTGACCTGTTGTTGGCGAATGTGAGATAAAGAGCGGTGATGGAGCCGAGGTTTTCGGGTAAGTTTTGAACGAGATTGTTGTTGTTGATGAACAAAACATCGAGATCAAGATTGAAAACCTGAGGAGGAACCATACCCGAAAATGAGTTGAACCTGAGATCAAGAAACGTCAAGTTCTTGGCCTGAAGAACTGAACTCGGGAACTCTCCCGACAACTTGTTGCTACTAATGTCGAGTTCATACAAGTACTTCAACTTGTCTACCCTCGGAACAGAACCCACGAAATTGTTGGAGTTGGCGTGGAAGATGGTAACTTCCTCTAACTTGTCGAGGAAGTTATCCAGACGGAGTTGCTTGCCGGCCAGGTTAAACTCGTTGAACTGTACAGATGCAACGGCGAGGTAATTCGTTCCTGGGTATATTGCACATTCGAGGCCCACGTATTTGTCCTTTGCACAAACATCATAACCTTCCCATGTTTTGAGTTTGTTCTTCGGATCGTATTCAACAAGCTTTTGAAACCTCTTGATCACCGGAAACACTTTCTCGATCAATGGACTCACGAAACGAGGAGGAGGCGGCGGTGGCGGAGGAGACGGCGGAGGAGGGCAAGGAGGTGGAGGACTGTCCTCGGATTCGGGCGAGGGACCACCGCCTCCGATTCCGATGATGATTTCTAGGGTTTTTCTGCTGTTGCCGTCGGTCAATAGGGCATGATGAACGTTTGAAAGCGAGAGCAAATGGAGAATCAAAATCAAGAAAACCAGAGTAGAGGAGGAATTCTTTGGGGCCATTATTTTCGTGTGTGTTTGAGGAGTTAAGTGTTGAGATTTATACAACATAGAAGATGGGACAAGTCAACGCATATGTATGTATTATTGTGAATGGGGGGATTTTAATATATATTGTCGCAAGAGATTTGATATAAATATTATATCCGACAAAATAATACAATTTGATTAAAAATTTGTAATTAAAATAAATTGACCTTTCGTTGTCATGTTACGTGTTCAACCAAGTCCAAGTAAAAAAATAATAATAATGCAGTTCCTTTATGACATGCTAACTAATGTAAATATATGTCAATTTTATCTATTTACCGTGAGTAATAGGGATAATTAAAAAAAATCTGTACGAATTTGTCATAGTATCTTAATATCCTAAGCTGAATTAAAAATATATCGTATATCTACATTAAATTACAAAATCGTCAGCGATTGCTAACACAACCATAAACATACTTAAAATTCATCGATTTTTATCAACCAAAAAGATTATATGTGTGTAAGTACATGTCATCAATTATTATTATTATTATTATTATTATTATTATTATTATTATTATTATTATTATTATTATTATTATTATTATTATTATTATTATTAGGTATAGGGTCCCCATCTTGGACAATCCTTTACAAATTAAAAAACAAAAGCCTTCACTAGTATGTCTAAAACGACCATCGTGTGAATGGTTGGTTGAAATATTATAATTAAAATTGTTTTAAAAAATATTATAATTAAAGTTGTTATAATATATAACAAAAACGAAAATTATAGTCCGTATCATATGGGGATACCACGGCATGTGTAGATTCGTTGCCGTGTCATTTTCATGAGAACTTTTAAATTACTTTTTAAAATTCCAAGTTTAATTTAAATATGAAAATAATTAAAAGACCGACTAATTTTGTAATCTAACCTATACCAATTAATTTTATAGAAAAATAATAATTATTAAAAATCACAAAAAACAATATCCAAATTTTAATAAAAATCATTTTAAATTATACAAAATAAAATATAATGATTTTATTAAATTTCAGATTTATACATCAAATATTAGTACAAAATAAAATTTATACATAATAATATGATTTTTAATACTTATCCGATATTAATATTTTTAAAACTATCAATAATTTAAAAATACAACTCAAAACCGAAACTTCTATCAACCTAATCCTTATAAACATAACCAAAACTGACTACTATGATTTTCGTTTTTGAAAATTAATTCGTTCTAATCATGAATTATATACCGTTACATTTAGAGGAGACACATATCGGGTAATCGGAATTTTAGGATTATCTGAACTCGAATCCGAATTTTTTTATATTATATTAATCGAACTCGAATCCGATTTATTTGAGTGTCCGAAAATCGGATATACAAGATAATTTTTAGGTATCTGTGAGTATTCGAATCCGAAATTTTAAACAAATTTTAACAAAAATATAGTAGATATCATATATAAATTATATATACTATATATATAAATTGTAATATGTATATAAATATAAATTTTTTTATAATATAATATATAAAATAAATAAAAATATATAAAAAAGTTGTATATTGAAAGTTATAATAAATGTAGTTTTAGATTTTATATAATATAGTTAAAATTTAGAGATAAAACTGTAAATTTATAATACTTCGGGTATCCGCGAATAATTACCCGTCTCATTTTTTATTACCCGAATGTGAACTAAAGATTTTCTAAATATTATATTCGATCTCATCTCATTAGATGTTTGAATACCCAAATTTCGGATACTGACCTGCGGGCCGAGTCTAATGTGCGAATCTTGGGTTTTTTTTTTGTCCACTCCTAGTTACATCGAATCCGACAAAGATCTCTACAATCTACCAATATATTTCTTGAACCAATTTACCTTTCTCTAGGTCATATCTTTTTTTTTTTAAAAAAAAAAGTTGGTGTCTCAGTTTTCTAAGACATTGAAATCGACAAGTGTTCCTACCAAATTTTTTCTTTTAACTTTAATTTTTTCGATACCCGACTCACAATATAAACTGAAATCATCGGTTTTCGATGTACTTATATGATCCAATGATTTTTATTAGCGATATTTTGACATCAAAGTGTCGAGATATTATTTTTATAGGTACTTTTTGAATTAGACTTCTTCGACGTGCAAAAAGTGGGAAGGATTCTCAACGAAACTTATATACTTGGACTAAGTCACATCAATTCTATGGATTCTAACTAATGAATTCATCCTACAAACTGATCTAGATTATCCTAAAAATTGAGCTATCAATTCAACATGATTCAACCATATTCAACCAATTTATTAGATTTCCAAAATGTTTTTGCTCTATCATCCTATATATAATTAATTTAATATTCAAAATGGTTTTTATGGATGCGAACTTATATGAATCTAAAACTATATGCAAATGCAATACTACAAAAAGATATGTAAGGAGGGTTAAATATCTCAGTTCAATCTTTCAAAATGATGGAGGATGTGATGAAGATATTAGTCATACGATAAAAACATGATAGATGAAATGGAGATAAGTCATGGAAGTTCTTTGCAATTGGAAGATCTCCATATAATTGAAAGGAAAATTCTACCGTACCGCTATAAAACTCGTATTGATATTTGGTAGTGAATATTGAGCGATGAAAGAATAATATGGTTCCAAAATGAATGTGGTCGGTACGAGAATATTGCGATAGATGTACGGGTTACACAAGTATGGGTAGAATATGAAATTAAAGTATTAGAGAGAAATTAAAAGTAATAACTGTAGAAAAGAAAACTACGCAAGAGGCGATTAAGATGATTTGGATATGTAAAACGTAGAATGCTCCGATTAAAAAAAAATAAAGAGTATAAGGAAGAGATAGATCTAGATTTATTTGGAAACGAGCAGTTAATAACGATTTGAACCCAAATTTGAAATAAGTAGAAAAGAAGGTTTAAATAAACTTGAGATTAAGACGATGTTTGATGATGAATCCATAACAAAGCGGTTGCGATCCGTCTTACCAATGCACCTCTAGCTAATGACCTTCAAAATGATTCCACAATTTTTTTTATAGAAGGTTAGGTCAACAAATACTGTCATTTGGGATCTATAGACGCTGATGTAAACATGCTTTCATGTTTATCCAACATCTTACCATGTACATTTTCCACTTTAATACAAATCATTTTCTGTTAGGGGGACATGCAGTAGTTGTTGGAGGTAAGAAAAGTGCTCCGGGAGTTTAGTGAAAAAACGAGGCTGCAAATTAATGCAGAGAAGTCTGAGTTATTCCTCTACGACATGAGTGTGGTCGAAAAGGAGAACCTGTCCTTTTCGGTTGGCATTGCTCTTGGCTCACTTTCCGTAAGGTATCTTGGCGTCCCTCTTAGTCCGGTTAGACTCAGCAAGGCAGACTTTACTCCTCTCCTAGACAGGGTTAAGGCGAAGATGAATAGTTGGCTAAACAGATTTCTTTCTGTAGCGGAAAAAATTTCAGCTTGTCATCTCTGTCATTTATGGGATGGTCAATGTTTGGAGGACGACCTTTGCGTTGCCTAAATTTGTATTAAAAGAGATTGATAGCCTATGTTCTAGGTTTATCTAGCAGCATGCAGGGGATCACTCACTTAGCTATCGGGTTTCATGGGTGGTAATATGCAAGCCTAAGAAGGAAGGAGGGCTTGGGATACGAAGGATTGAGGAGACACATGTTGTCTTCCGTCTTAAGCTGGTCTGGCTACTGCTGACTAAGGCAGGATCTCTGTGAGTTTAGTGGATTCGACACAATGTTTTCAAAGGTAAAACTTACTGGGAAGTGAAACAGACGACCACTGTTACATGAAACTTGAAGAAATTGCTATGATTCAAGGCAAAGGCGAGGCCTTTCACTAAGATTAACCTGGGAGATGGAAAGACGGCGTCTTTTTGGTATGACAGTTGACTGCCTCTCGAACCCCTGATTGATTTCATTGGCTCAGGTGGTCCTCGGCTGTTGCAGATACCGAAAACGACTATGGTGGCAGATGCAATACGGGACAGAAGCTGGAGTTTGCCGGGCGCACGGAACGACCACATCCAGCAACTTCATATCCTCTTATTACAGACTGATCCACCGAGGCCTGGTGCAGGACCAGACACATGTTTGTGGCGATGCACGGACGATGACTACATGCCTAATTTTAAAACGGAACAAACATGGGAGCTTTGTCGTACCCCGGGGACTATTGTTGAATGACATAACCTGGTGTGGTTTAAGAAATGCATCCCGCGACATGCTGGCAGATTTTTCACAAGTGGCTACTGACAATGGACAGGCTGGCTAGTTGGGGGATCCTCGGACCAAATCGTTGTATTCTCTGCTACCGGGAGGAAGAAACACGAGCACCTCTTTTTCTCTTGTGATTTTAGTATTTCATTATGGCATTTTTTCGCAGAAAAATTGAGGAAAAACCCTTCTACTACATATATGGCTGCCATGATTGTTAAGGCAGACTGGTCACGAGTCCCGATCACATGTTCACCTCATCATGAAGTTACTTACGCAACTTGTGGCGTATGAGCTTTGGAACGAACGGAACGGCCGCATCCATCGGGAGATGATTCACTTCGTCTACCACCTCCGATACAAGGTAGACAGGTCGATGATAAATATCTTATACTCACTGCAGAGTCCGACGAATATAATCATGAACGAATTCATCCGGCATTGGTATCGTTTAAATTAGGTCATTGATTCTAGTTTTATCCGTTTTGCGCATGAGAATCCCCTTTTCGTTAAAACTCTGATTGGTCGGGAAGGAATACAAGCACATTCTTATTAAAAAAAAAAAACTTTAACACACTTGAAAAATACTAATGATGACGAAAAATAAAACAATTTGAATGTCTGTGAGAATTTGTCTCGTAGAAAGGATCTCTCTCTCTCCACAGTACTCACTACACAGTATTCCAATTTAAGTGGGACCCACACGGAGAGTCTCTGTCTGATCCAACGGCTGAGATTGCGTTGTCTCCTTAGGACTAAACTTAGGGTTTTACGAAACTCTTCCGTATTTAAACAACACGAACTTTGCATAGTCCCCTTCTTTGTCTCTGCATTCTTCACCATCTTCTTGACTGAGGACTCGGTCCCCGACTCGTCTGATTCTCTGACTCGCCGCCGCAACTCTCGCCGGCGGTGACCGTCGATTTTCCTTCCCTCTCCTCGAAATAAAAAAACCCACAAAAAAGGAAAAAGAAAAACCCCAAAAAAAGATCTCATTTTTGGGATTTTAATTCCTCCGACATATCTGCTTTTTATTCTCCGATACCGTTTTCTCCCTTGCAGTAGCAAATAATCAGAGGAGAGGGAAGAAAAAAAGGAAAATTACCCCCAAAAAAATTAGAAAAAGGTGAACAGGACTTTGAGCAGAGAAGAGGTATTGTTGTTTTCGTTTTGTTGTGGCAATGGCTCAGGTTCAGCTTCAGGGTCAGAGTGCGAACGGTGGATTGTCCGCTTCTGCGGCGGCGGCGCAGCTGGGGACGACGTCACTGTACGTCGGTGATCTGGACCCTACCGTGACGGATTCTCAGCTGTTCGAGACCTTTAGCCAAGTGGGTCAGGTGGTCTCTGTTCGTGTCTGCAGGGACATGTCGACCCGTCGATCTCTTGGCTATGGCTATGTTAACTATGGCAATCCTCAGGATGGTAAGTCTCTTTAGCTTTGCTGTTGTTGTGAGGTTTATTTTTTAACGAGTTTTTCATGATTATTAGCTCAAGTTTGTTGGTAGGCGTCTGTATTTGATTGAATTTGTGGTGAGTTTTAGTGTTCATGATCTGGATATGGTATTTTAATTTGGGTTTACTGAAATGGTATTGATGTTTATAAGATCCTTTGTTCATGGATGATGAAAGCGAAAGGGCGTTAATTTCGTAGGATTGTGTAGAAAGGCAAAACTTTAGGTAGTCTTGAAGATAAGAGTGATTAACTGTGATTGTTGGGCTCGGAAGCTTGGTTTTCCTTTTGTACTTCTTATATTCATTACACGTGCAAAGTTTAACTGCCCTTGATCTGGTTTTAGCATCATGTTAACTGTAGTGAGGATCAAAGATAAACAGATTTGTGTTCCCTTGTTGGTTACCTCTTAGCCGATTTCTTATGTTGTGTTTTAGCATTGTAGTTTATACAGATTTCTCAACGAAATTCGATTTCGATATCTCATGGCATATTATTGTAGTAGCTTTGTTTGGAAATGGTTTTTTTTTTTTTGTATATGAACTAGGCAAATGCTAAGGGTTTTGCTGTTAGGTATATGTTGATGTACATAGACATACCAAGAAAGGTAGGACGTAGGAGGGATAGATAAAAACTTGAGTTTAATGAAATGCTCACCTTTGTAGTAAGATGGGGCTAAATGGATGGCGTTAAGTATAAAGGAACCCTAAGTTTTCCTTAATTTTAACCTTTTTCCTAATAGTAAGCCAAATAAGGAAGGGAAGCCTTGGCGCACCGGTTAAGGTGTTGTCGTTGTGACTTAGAAGTCGCGGGTTCGAGTCTTGGAAGCAGCCTCTTGCAGAATATTCTGCAAGGTAAGGTTTGCCTATAATACACGGCCCTTCCCTAGCCCCCACTCAACGGGATGCTTTGCGCACTGGGCTGCCCATAGTAAGCCAAATAAATTACCTTTCTTTAATAGGTTATGCTGAGTAGCTGGATTTTGGATAACTTTAATGTTCCGCTTTCACATGGTCAGTTTGTTTATTGAGTTGTCGTTGTTAACATTTGGAGTAACCTTGACGTGGAAAAAAGATGATGAGCGGCATTCCTCCGTGCACAGATGAAAT